TGACGTACAGGTCATTAGCCTAGGCTATTCATCATGATCTCGTCTTACACAATTAGTGTCAGAACGTACTGGAATGCAGGGGCCACAGCCAATGGGGGATGGACGCGTGGCGTATGATATCACATCGAAGACAGAGAAACCGCATGTCGTTGCTGACACGTGACTTGGGAAAGTAAATGATTAATTACACCATTCCCTTGATGAGACCGCATTCAATGCGGTAAGGCTCAGAAATGAAAGGCAATAAATGTTCCTAATACAGAGCATTTATTGCATCCTCTCCGAGAGGAGTACATTGTACCGTCGGCATCCCGATGACCCAACATTGATTGCTCGGGACTCCGAACAGTTAAGAAGAGAAGACATTCCTCATCAGAATCAGTGCGCACACTGCCTGTACCTAATGATCACCTACTGACTACACTGACAGCAATCATGAGCTTTTGAGATATAAATACTCCTTGCAAAAGGCAAGACGGGTATGCAACAAAATACCCTTTACTACAATACACACTCAGTGTTTTCTCCTTCCTCTCTCTTTCTCAAAGACTGACTAGATCGTCGGAGGGGATACACCGAAAAACACTCCGGCGCCCTTCTAACTTGTTCTTCTTTGTTCCAGGGACCCCTTTCAGCCTTACTGGATCATTCTTCCACTCCCCCAGGGTCTCCCGTTGCCGTTCTAGGTTACTACCGGACCTCGCAGGTTGTTCCAAGCAGCGTGATTGGTCACTCAACTGGCTCACTCGAGTTCACCAAAGGAGAGATCTGTTCTCGTTTTTTATATTGTGCAGGATGTTGCACGCACACATGTTCATTTCTTCACGCTATGAACCAAGGTATATGTACCGTATGATGGCATGTGCACTCGTCACTTTCTCCTTGTAAATGACAGGAACAAAACAATACTTGGGTTAATGTTAAATGAAATAATTTGATATTCTATTAAAAAATATTGTTTATTCTCATGCATAAGTTATTTTCAAAAAAAAAAAAATGATTTGTGATTTAATTTTATTAGAATATTGAACTAAATAAATTTTTAATTCGTTGGAGGTTATTGTTTAATGTAGGTTTGATGGAGAGAAAAAGAGTCATACTAATAATGCGATGTCTAATTCATAATTTATAATCAATTTATTTGTTTTAAATCATTAAGTATTTAATGAAACATTATGTCTCAAAATAACGAATTTGAAGTAATAAAATGAAATAAACTGACATTGGTGTAATAGAATAAGACTTTTCTCCCGTTAGAAGAAGGCCAATACTTTAATGAGTTAATATACTCTTAATTAGCTTCATCAGTTAGAATCCAAGTAGTACCATATTTTTGTAAGTGGAGTGAGTGTCTATACTACCTTGTTTACTACACACATGCGCCGCTCGCCCGCCTCACCATGACCCAACCTAACTTGGATCAAAAAGATATAATTTTTTGAAAATTTAGAGACCGGTCCCCCTATATAAACTTATTTGGTTTTAAGTCCATTTTTTTTCAAGTTTAATATTGTACCCCTACTCTTTGAAAAAACAATAATCGATGTCTGACTTATCGTCTCATTCACATAGGTTAAATCATTGAGATATATATAAAAACTTTTGATGGAGTTATATATGTAAACCGTTTATTAAATATTATGATAATTAATAGAAGTTTTATATAGAAGTTATATATTATGATAGTTATATATGGAAGCTTGGTGTACGAATAAAGCGTTAGTCTATTAAGTTAAAATCAGATCACAAAATTTCCTTAACAATTCAAAATTTCCTTAACATTAGTGTTACTATAGTGACACGAATGAGATTGTTTTCTTTAAAATACTCAATATCCAAAAATGAAGAAGTCTACCATTTCAAATAGTAACACAAACTCAACCCCAATTTTCATTTACACTACCAATTGCAAACCTTTAGACGTTTATTATGTAACATACATATTTAATTTTCACAGTAACATCAAAGGTTTGTGCTCAATAACACATCGAATTTTACAAAATATAAGGCAATAAGGTTTTCATAGTAACATAAATTTTAAAAAGATTATAATAAAAATACGATTCATAAGTTAAAATTTTACAAAATTTTTATTAGTAACACACCGTTGATAATTGAATTAGGATCCTCAACATCAATTAAGAACATCAAGACATCGAAATTCTGAAATCCATTTTCTCGTTATCACACAGTAACATAATCTATTTTACAGACATATAACCAAGATATTTCGAATGTCTTGCACAACAAAGAAAATAACAAAATCGAATTATATGACACTTTAATTTAGTTATAATGAATCTCAATTTTTAAATTAGGAATGCCAAAAAGAAAAATCGGACAATTTGAACTATAGATTATGTAGAAGTTTTTTAAAACCTTAAAATGAACTTCAATTTTCATGTAAAATCACATACTTTAACTCTATTTTTGAATTTCAAAGTTGTGAAGATATTTTGAATGCAAAGAATCAACTGTAACTTTGTCAATGGATTCCACAGTAAACTTGAAGAATACAATCGAAATTGGGGTTGTGTTTATGTTATTATTTGAAATGGTGGAATTCTTCATTTTGAATATTGAGTATTTAAAGGAAAACAAACCAATTCATGTCACTATAGTAAAAGTGTCACTATAGTAACACTAATGTTAAAAAAAAATTGAATGTTAAGAAAATTTTGTGATCTGATTTTGATTTAATAGATCAGTGATTTATTCGTACATCAAACTTCTATATATAACTATCAGAATATATAACTTCCATATAATACTTACACTAATTATTATAATATTTAATAAACGGTTTCTATATATAATTCAATCAAGGGTTTAAATATATAACTCAATGACCTAACTTATGTGACTTTTCATTACTGGATAAAACTAACACCATTAGGGGTAATTTTAAAATTTAAAAAATAAGTGAACTTAAATACCTACATATAAGTTTAAACATAAACTTACCCTCAAATAAATTTTCTTCCAGAAGTCAAGTCATTATAAGTCCATCTAGGGGTACTCACCTTAAATTTTCAGTAATTTTTTTGGATAAAATTTTTTGGTGAGGTACAAGTTATGGGTCAAATCAAACTGATCCAAGCATAGATTGTAATTAAACTTGTAATTAAACTTCCAATTGAAATTTAACATCTAATTGAATTTTTAAAATTGAATTTGGCGCCAAAGCTTATGTTTGTTCTCTAAAGGTGCCTTCTCATTTTCGTTGTTGTTCAGGATTAAAGGTATGTCTCTTCGATCTGAGCATGAGCGTCTTGTGCTTCTTCAGACAATCCGAACAAGCATGAAAGGTCTATAAAATAAACTACCTTATTGCCATTTTCAATCCATCCCAATTCTAAATTCTGCTTTTTGAGTTTCTTCTCTCTTTTTGCATATTGTTGCATTACTCTTTCTTCTTTAGTTCAAGTATAAACACAGAATTGTGTTTCGCTAGAGTTCTGAAGATTGAAGCATTATTTTTTTAGAAATGAAATCCGTTCTATCTTGGAAGACGTGTGCTTATTAACCTTAAGCATCGAGAGAGAATAAATCTATCTTAAAAAAATTGTGATTACACATAACTCAAATGATTGTTATTACTATTTTTGAATTTTTGAATTTTTTAGATTTTTATTATTCGTATAATTTGGCATCACTATATATGCATTTTTGTTTCTTTTTATTAAATTAGTTCACATATAATAATATACTTAGTGATTTAGATTTTGATACAATAATTAGCGATTAATTTTAAGAGTAATGCTATTTAAACCTAAAAATTTGACATAATTTATTGACATAATGATGTGGTTTCATAGGAATCATTGAATCAACACCAAATTTCAATGTTTGATGAGACTTATAATCAATCCAAATGTCATAATAAATTAAGTCAATAAATTATGTCAATAATTTAAGTCCCAATAGCATTGCTCTAATTTTAAATATATACATACTTTGGATAACAATTTCTTAAGCATAGGTCATAAGAGTTTTATTTTTTATGAATACTCTAGTCTTGACAGATGTCTTTAACCAAGCTGTAAAGAAAATTAATCTGTAATCTCACATGAAAATTCTTGTTAAAATAAAAAAGCAAAAAGAAAAACCATTTAACCATAGACCAATGGCAGTTTAAGGTGAGGGCTACCATATCTACACGTGTTACGGGCTGAGACCCATCGTACCTTCGGTTGAATCACTTCCCTTTCTTTTTTCTTTTCGTTGGTATTCAAATAAGAGATACAATTTGATCTATTCTTTTGTTCCTCCTTTTGTCTCTCTATATCGTTTCAAGAAGCCATTGGGTCCAAACCACTCCTTCCACGAATCCAGCAAAATGTCTTTACAGTCAAATGGTGGAAAGCTTGTAGTCTTTCTTGGTGTGCTCTCCAAGTAAGTCTCTGAAAAATAAAATAAAAAAGGTAAATCTCTTCTCTTTGCTAGCTTGAAGCTCCAAAGAAACCATACATGCTTGACTTGGCTTGCTTGTGTGTCTTCTTCAGAGCCCAGGTGAGTTTGTTCTTTCACTAACAGAACAGCTGTTCTGGGTTTGCATGTATAGAAAATACAGTCCTCTTTATGTACCAGTTAAAGAATCTGAGGTGCTTCTTATCAATCTTTTCACAAGTTGCAATCTTTTAAAAAGTTATTTTTTTCTTACATTGATGGCATTTGGTTTTTAGTCTGAACTCTGAAAGTATCTAAAATCTGATTTCCCACCGGTAATTTCTTGTCGTATGTTCATAAATTTCTTTAGCATTGATTATCTTTGTTGTTTTCCTTTATTATTATTGTATCAAAGCCAATTGATCTTTGGCATCTCTCTGTTTTTTCTTTTTTCTTCTTGATCATAATCTTTTGTTACTCAAAAATGGTTGATCTTCATGGTCCTCTGATGCAGTTTCTGTTGTTACGCATCATCTTATTTGAAAAAAAAAAACCGGTGAATGTATAATAAAGACCGTCTTTGTAGCCATCAAAAGCTCTGCAAAAGTTTGTCTGATCTCCTTTTTCTGGTTTTTTCTCTTATTGTTTCTCCTTTTGCAGGAGCTTTCTTTTCCCGTTCCCTCTCTTGTGTGGTTTACAGGTATGCTGACCAAAGCAAGATTTCTTATCAAGGTTTCATCTGAGTGATGTGTCGGTTTCATCCGATTGATATGACACAATTTTTATCCTCAAATAAATAAGTTATATTAATATTTAATAATAGAGATTATACAGATGACAAACTTTACAAGAACCTTGGGAGGATCTTTCTTTTCCTGTTCCCTCTCTGTCTCTCTATCGACCTTTAGAAAATTGTGACCTTTGTTTGAAACTCTAAAATAACGTACACAATATGTATGTCTTTTAGTTTCCAAGAAAGAAGTGCTTATGAATTCCGTGTATTTGGACTTAAGGGCTTGAAGATCATTGTTTGTATGTTAATACAGGAATTGTTTAATTTCTGCACCTGTGATTCTGGGTGTGGTGGGCATCGACGTACTGGTTATTCTTCATGTTTAACAATTTCATGGACTTCTGAAGATCAGTTTTATTGTCTTAAAAATTATTCTTTACAATTTCATAGCTGGGTGTTTCATAATACCTGTTTTTCCTTTTCACTCTTTCAGATAGCAAGGGAATGGAGATTGGTGGACATAGATAACTCTTGTTTGCTTTGGTTGAAGTTAATTTGTGAACAACATGTCTTCTGCTTCTTGGATCACATCCCTTTCTTGTTCAAGCTCTGTAATACAGTCCTCAGAGGACACCTCAGTTTCACCCATACTTCAATGGCTAAGATTCATCTTCCTCTCTCCATGTCCTCAAAGGCTCCTCTTATCTGCTGTTGACATTGCGTTCTTGCTTGCCCTCCTCGTGTTTTTGATCCCGAAGCTCTATTCCAGATTCATCTCCAATAGTCATAGCAATTCTGACGTCAATAAACCTCTCATTAGAAACAACAGAGTTCCTCTTAGAACTTCTCCATGGTTCATGATCTCGCTGATTGTGACAGTTCTTCTTGCGGTTCTTTGTACGGTTTTATGCATTCTGGCCTTTTGTACAAGTAACCAGCCGCAATGGAAGCTAGTAGATGGACTGTTTTGGCTGATTCAAGCAATAACTTATGTTGTAATAACCATCCTAATAGTCCATGAGAAGAGATTCGAAGCTGCTATGCATCCATTGTCTCTTCGAATATTCTGGGCTGCAAACTTTGTCATTGTCGCTTTGTTCACTGCTTCAGGGATCATTCGTCTAATATCATTTAGAGATTCTAGTTCTGATTTGAGGTTGGATGATATAATTTCATTCATTAGCTTTCCTTTATCGATTATTCTTCTAATTGTAGCCATTAAAGGTTCAACTGGGATTACGGTGAGAAGAGAATTTGAATCAGGAATGGATGGGGAAGCCAGGTTGTATGAACCACTTTTAGACAAATCTAGTGTCAGTGGATTTGCTTCAGCTTCTATTATATCAAAAGCCTTTTGGCTTTGGATGAATCCTATACTGGGCAAAGGTTATAAATCACCTCTCAAGATTGATGATATCCCAACCCTTTCACCGCAACATAGAGCTGAAAGAATGTCAGAGCTCTTTGAACTCAATTGGCCTAAGCCTCATGAAAAATCAAAGCACCCTGTTCGAACCACATTGATTCGTTGTTTCTGGAAGGAGATTGCTTTCACTGCCTTCCTTGCAATTGTGAGACTTTGTGTAATGTATGTAGGGCCTACTCTCATTCAAAGATTTGTTGATTACACATCCGGGATTAGGAGCTCTCCATATGAAGGATACTACCTGGTATTGACTCTCCTCATTGCCAAGTTTGTGGAAGTTTTGACCTCGCACCAATTCAACTTTAATTCCCAGAAACTTGGAATGCTTATTCGAACCACCCTCATTACTTCTTTGTATAAGAAGGGCTTGAGGCTATCATGCTCTGCTCGACAAGCTCATGGGGTTGGACAGATTGTAAATTACATGGCAGTGGATGCTCAGCAGCTCTCGGATATGATGCTCCAGCTACATGCCATATGGCTTATGCCACTACAAGTCACTGTTGCCTTAGCTATCCTATATGGTTACCTCGGTGCCTCGACGATTATATCACTAATTGGCCTAGTTGTCGTTTTAGTGTTTGTTGTGATGGGCACTCGGCGAAACAACAGATTCCAATTCAATATAATGAAAAATCGTGATTCAAGAATGAAAGCAACAAATGAGATGCTTAATTACATGCGTGTCATCAAGTTCCAGGCATGGGAAGAACATTTCAACAAGCGAATTCAATCTTTCCGTGAATCAGAGTATGGATGGCTATCCAAGTTCATGTATTCAATATCAGGCAATATGATTGTGCTGTGGAGCACTCCACTAATGATATCTACACTCACATTTGGGAGTGCAATTTTGTTTGGGGTTTCACTCGATGCAGGAACAGTTTTTACCGCGACCTCGCTTTTTAAGATGTTGCAGGAACCAATCAGGACCTTTCCACAATCAATGATCTCACTTTCGCAAGCAATGATCTCACTGGGGAGGTTGGATAGATTTATGATGAGTAAGGAATTGATTGCTGAGTCAGTGGAGAGAGTGGAAGGTTGTGATGGTAGAACTGCGGTGGAGGTGAAAGATGGAGTTTTTGGCTGGGATGATGAAGGTGGAGAAGAAGTGGTGAAAAGTTTAAATTTTGAGATAAAAAAAGGGGAACTTGCAGCTATAGTTGGGACCGTTGGATCAGGGAAGTCTTCTCTACTGGCATCAATTCTTGGTGAGATGCACAAAATATCAGGAAGGGTATGAAATTTCATACTGTACCTTATGTCTGAACAAGTCTCATGTGCATGATTCTGCTCGATTGTTGTACTCTTTTGTTATGTCATATGTTCTTGTTTTACCTTCCTAGTGTTTATTTCTTAGACAGGATTTGGTCAGAGATCCATCCTGATTGATTAGACATAAGCATTCAAACAATTAGAAAGGTCATACATAATTTTTTTTTCTTAACCTGTTGACATGATGGTTGTGACTAACAGGGTATTTATAGCCAGATGGAGTCTCTAGTATAAGGTGTTCGTGTCTGTTGCACATTATATTTGCTTCTGGTCCATAGATCAGCCATTGACAATGTAGATTAATTTGAAATGAAACCAAATAGTGTCGGGCAACAGATTATACTAAAAATTTTTGGTTCACTTTCTATTTCTTATTCAAGAGTGCCATAGCTGCATAAAACTCAACCCCGATGAAAATTACAGCCATCTTTTTATTTGCTGCATTTGTTCGGACTTTCAATTTAGATTTGGAAAGGGGGACGCATCTATTAAATCAGAAGCTAGCCTGTCTTTCTCATGGCCCAACCCCAATCTTCTCAGCCTTCCTTTTCTTATTGCAGCAACTCTTGCTTTTATGGACCACTCCTTATTGGCAGAATGAATTTGCTCTTGCCCAGACCATTTTAGTTGGTTTTCCCTCATTGCATCCTTGGTGGGAGCTTCCTTAAGATCCTTGGTGTACCTGACTCATTAATTATTTGCACTATATGGTATAGGGAAATGTCTGTTGCGTTATGCACTTCAATATTGGCTTTCTTCATTGGACACTAGGACTTTATTAATTTTTTAGGTACTTTTAATACACACGTATCTTTAAATTGCGAACTCCCTAACTCTAAATCCTAATCATTAAATTTACTAGATGAAACCTTTAGAGATTGGATTATTTGATCATTTAATAGACATCTATTCTTCTCTTTGTAACAGGTAAGAGTTTATGGGACCACAGCCTATGTTGCACAAACATCGTGGATTCAAAATGGGACAATTCAAGAGAACATCCTATGTGGTTTGCCTATGAACAGAGACAGATACAAGGAAGTTATCAAGGTCTGTTGCTTGGAGAAAGACTTGGAAATGATGGAGTACGGAGATCAGACTGAAATTGGAGAACGTGGCATCAACCTCAGTGGCGGCCAGAAGCAGCGGATCCAACTTGCCAGAGCTGTTTTTCAGGATTGTGATATCTATCTTCTTGATGATGTATTTAGTGCCGTTGATGCCCATACTGGGTCAGATATATTCAAGGTGACAACCTCTTAGCCACATATGAATGTGCTTTATATGCTGCAATATCCTAATGCCTTCATATGTTGTGCTGTTTGCTCAAATATTTCTGCCATATTTGTGTTTGTATGCTGCTTATTATTTTTACTTTTTGAGAATCTATTAAAGAAGCATTAGCAATAGAAGATATTGGCATATATCATTCCCATACTTCATTAAAATTACTATATCAAAATTTATTGTTATAACTACTTGAAGTTAGGCAGGTTTTAAATATTCCAGAACCATTTGTTGCTTCTTATCTATTATTAAATGTGGCTTAGGTTATTTTTTCCATGCTCTTTCACAGGAATGTGTGAGGGGCATCCTCAAAGATAAAACGATTTTACTTGTCACCCACCAAGTTGACTTCTTGCGTAATGTTGATCTGATCTTAGTAAGTACAATTTTGCTTGTCTCAATCCCCGTATTTATCTTTATTTATTTGCATAATGTATATATGTAACAATTTTACCTCTCAAAACCAGGTTATGCGAGATGGGATGATTGTGCAATCCGGAAAATACAATGATATACTAGAATCAGGAATGGATTTCAAAGCGCTAGTGACCGCCCATGAAACTTCCATGGAACTGGTAGAAGCAGGAACCACCTCACATGGCCAAGGTTCCCCAAAACCACCAAAATCTCCTCAAACATCTTCTAACCATGGGGAAGCAAAGGGTCAGGACCGATCTCAAGAACAATCCGAGTCTGAAAGGGGAACTTCTAAGCTCATCAAAGAAGAGGAGCGAGAAACTGGGAGAGTCAGCTTACATGTTTACAAAGTATATCTCACAGAGGCTTTTGGTTGGTGGGGTCTGGTGGCGGTGTTTCTGGCTTCTTTGTTGTGGCAAGGGTCTCAAATGGCCAGTGATTACTGGTTGGCGTATGAAACTTCCGGAGTGTCATTCAACCCTTCTCTGTTCATACAAATCTATGCCATTATTACAGCTGTTTCACTTGTTTTGATACTGATAAGAACCACTTTTGTTACCCTCGTGGGCCTCAAGACTTCTCAAATCTTCTTTAGGCAAATTCTTCACAGTATCCTTCATGCTCCTATGTCATTCTTTGACACTACACCTTCGGGAAGAATTCTGAGTCGGGTAAAAACTTGGACACCAAAATAGGATACTTATTTTTGCATTAAAATATCATTTTGTCTAATGAAAATACACAATTCTCATCACGTATTAACTGCAATGTTGTTGATGCGAATTAATTAGTTTTAGTGGTATCTAAGCTGAGGACTTAAATACCATTTTAATCTATTTGTGCAGGCATCAACTGATCAGAGCAACATTGATGTCTTCCTCCCCCTTGTCATGAATCTTACTCTTGCAATGTATATGACACTGGTGGGCATCATCATCATCACCTGTCAATATGCTTGGCCAACGGTGTTCCTTTTAATTCCACTTGGTTGGCTGAATTACTGGTACAGGGTATGGGCATTAATTGTACTGCTGAATTTTCTCTTTTCTTGTTATTGGTCTTCCCTTTTTCTTTATTTTTGGTTTTATAGTCTCTCTGTAAAAAGATTACAATCAGTTTCCTGGGTGAGGGCCTAGCATTTCTCCAATAGCCTGGGCGGCCACCCACATCATGGCTAGGTGAGGTTGCCTTGGCTTTTTTTGGCTGCTGCTATTTGTAAGGTGGCTGCCACAATTACACTGATTCCATTAATTTTGTTGAAGAATTAATGCCGAGGCCAACTCTGTTATATTTTTGCCCAATTCCCTATAGAATTTTTGATTGAAGTGGGTGTCATTTTTTAGATCAATGCTCGTGTGTATCATTACTTAGTTTTTGTAATATATTTTTTCTTTTGGGTTGCAGGGATATTACCTTGCAACATCTCGTGAATTGACTCGACTTGATTCAATTACAAAAGCGCCTGTCATTCATCACTTCTCAGAAAGCATCTCTGGGGTCATGACTATCCGCTGTTTTGGGAAGCAGGAAAGTTTTGTTCAGGAAAATATCAACCGAGTGAATGCAAATGTACGCATGGATTTCCACAATAATGGATCCAATGAATGGTTGGGGTTTCGTTTGGAACTGATTGGAAGCTGCATCCTCTGCATTTCCACAATGTTCATGATTGTGTTACCTAGCAGCATCATAAAGCCTGGTATGTATATAGTAAGGTGATTGTAACTTACTTCCCTGTCAAACACTTGCATTGATTGTCAACCGAACAGCACGCATTTTCCAGTCTTGCACATAAAAAAGAAACTCAAAAGCGACGGGAGAAGTTAATCTATTCTCAATTTGATAATGTAATATGACTGGGATTATATTATATTTGTATTTTTTGATCATTGTCTTTCTGGTTTTTAATTAAATGATATTGAAATGCTATTTTGTGACTCTTGTAGTTCCCGACTAGAATAAAGGTTGTTAATTCAGCACATCATGTGAAGATTTCATGCGATGTCAACGAGTTTTCCTTTCTTTTTTTAACCCCTTCTCCCCCCTTATGTTTCTGGATTTTAATTCTAGGAATCTGATTTATATTTTATTCTTCAGAGAATGTTGGATTGTCTCTCTCATACGGTTTGTCCCTGAATAGTGTGCTGTTCTGGACCATATATATGAGTTGCTTTGTGGAAAATAGAATGGTTTCTGTTGAGAGGATTAAACAGTTTTCGAACATACCATCAGAAGCAGAATGGGAGAAGAAAGATTGTCTGCCTTCACCAAATTGGCCCACCCATGGCAACGTTGAGCTCAAGGATTTGCAGGTAACTAGCCATAAGTATTCTGATCACACATTGTGACATTGGCTTAGAAGGCATACATTCCCGCAAATCATAATGACATAATAACAGTTATCAAACACTGGACTAGATTAACACGCCTAGTGATGATTGCTGACTACATTGTATGGTGTGAAATTTGAACAAAACACTAAGCATGCCTCTTTAATTTCCACTGGCTCTAAACACATAATCTGTTATAAACAAAATCACAAGCAAAATAATAACGCAACGAAATAGAAAAATAGAACACAAAGATTTACGTGGTTCGGCTCAACAAGCAAGCCGACATCCACAAACAAAACACGTCAAAATTTCACTATTGAAAGGTTGGAGATTACGTTTTCAGAACAAATCAAAGATAAAACTAGATATCTGCTCTATTTCAATAATAAAATATTTATTGGATTTAACAAAATAGAGCAATATCAATTTATCACATACAAAGAAAATTCTTGTACCGTCGTCAATGACCAACCACTAACTCACTGGAGAAGACGTCCTTTTTATCTAGTTTCTGGACTAAGGAATTTAATTCCTTCACAAAGTCTTTATGTTGAGGAGGTCTCACGTGTAGGACAAAAAACCAAAGACTCCTTGAAGGCCGAGTTTAAATAACAAAAGTCCATGTTGGACTAAACTCCACTAAAATAATAAAACCAAGATAATCCTAATTAAAGTCAAACTTGTCTATCAAGGGCTCCAATGAAAACTTATGTGTTCAATTAGAGTCCATATAAAAAACAATTGACTTGAATACAAGTCATCACAACAAATCTCCACCTTGACTTGTATTCCATCTATCCATCCAACCAATGTGAACTTGATCGCTACTTTCGTCAAATACCCCGAAGGGTACACTCAAATAGTGTAGACACCAATCAAGTCCAAGCAATGCTTGAACTTAAACACTGGTACCGGCTTAGTAAACATATTTGTTGGGTTCTCCGCTGTAGCAACTTTTTTCACTGTGACAATACTTTGAGCCATAACTTCACGAAAGAAGTGATACCTAACATCAATGTGCTTGATCCTTTCATGATATATCTAATTTTTGGTCAAATGTATTACACTTTGACTATTACAAAACACAGTAGTTACCTTTTTTTCCAAGCCCAAATCACAGACCAAACCTCTTAACCAAATTGCTTCTTTAACTGTCTCTGATATTGTCATGTATTCTGCCTCTGTGGTAGACAAAGCAACTGTAGACTGTAGGATCGCCCTCCAACTTACAGTGTACCCAAATAAAGTAAAAATATAACCTGTCAGAGATCTCCTTTTTTCTAGATCAGTCGCATAATCTGAATCAACAAAATCAACAACTGTAGAATCGATGTCATCTCTTCTACCAAATACTAAGCCAACATCTGTAGTGCCTCTCAAATAACGAAGTATCCATTTCACAGACTGCCAATGAACCTTCTCAGAATTAGCCATGTAACGGCTAACCACACTGACTGCCTGTGAAATATTTAGACGAGTACAAACCATAGCATACATGATGCTTCCAACTGCACTAGAATAAGGAATACGAGACATAAATTGCTCATTATTCTCACTCTGTGGTGATAAAGCTGCTGAAAGCCTAAAGTGAGCGGCAAGTGGAGTACTCACGGGCTTTGAATTCTACATCCCAAACCGTTCAATAACTTTCTCAATATATTTCTTTTGAGATAAATATAACATACCTGCTCTTCTATCCCTGTGAATCTCCATACCCAAAATTTTCTTTGCAGCACCCAAATCTTTCATCTTAAATTCTGAACTCAACTGTTTCTTCAACCTGCCAATCTCTAACATACTCTTAGCAGCAATAAGCATGTCATTTAGATAAAGCAATAAATATATCAAAGAACCATTTGACAACTGTCTGTGATACACACAATTATCATAATTACTTTTAGAGTAATCATGATCTACTATAAAGGTGTCAAAACGTTTGTACCACTGCCTTGGAGACTGTTTTAAACCATATAATGATTTCTTCAACAAGCAAACATGATCTTCTTTACCTTGAACAATAAATCCCTCTGGTTGATGCATGTAGATAGTTTTCTCTAGCTCACCATGTAGAAAAGCTGTCTTTACATCAAGTTGTTCAAGCTCAAGATTGAGTGAAGCAACCATGACAAGCAATACACGAATAGAGCTATATTTTACCACTGGTGAGAAAACTTCATTGAAGTCCACACCCTCTCTCTGATTGTAGCCCTTTGTAACTAACCGTGCCTTGTACCTTGCAGATTCAACCCCTGGGATTCCCTATTTTTTATTGAAGATCCATTTGCAGCCAACAATTTTCATGCCCTTAGGCAACTTCATTAATTCCCAAGTCTGGTTCTTATGAAGAGATTCAATTTTCTCAGCCATAGCAACAACCCAATGTGCATACTCTTTACTTGTGACAACTTCTAAATATGTGGAAGGCTTTTGAACTCCAAATTTCTCTACTATAGTCAGTGCATAAGCCACCAAGTCTGCATACCCATATTTTTGAGGGGGTCTAATTTGCCTCCTCTCCCTACCTGTTGCAATACTATACTTCTGTTGCTCCTGTGGATCATCACCTGAACTAGAAGCTGGCAAATCTAAAATAGATTGAACTGGAGTACTTTCAAGTACATTCTGTGAAGCTTCTACCTGTAGCTCCACCTCCTTGCTATAATCTTGTTCTTTCCTTGTAGAAACTACAAATTCCTTTCTCGGATGAAACATGAAAGATTCATCAAATACAACATCCCTACTGACTATAAACTTAGGTGATTTAGGATCAGAACACCACAATCTATATCCTTTCACACCATTAGCATAACCAATAAATATGCACTTCTTAGCCCTAGGCTAAAATTTACCATCATTCACATGACAATAAGCAGTGTAACCATATATTTTTAAATTAGAATAATCAGCAGGAGTACCAGACCATACCTTATGTGGAGTCTTCAACTCAATAGCAGTGGATGGAGAATGATTAACCAAATAACAAACAGTGCTGACAGTCTCAGCCCAAAATTTTTTGTACAATCTTGCATTGGAGAGCATACAACGTGCTCTCTCCAAAAGAGTTTTGTTCATCATCTCTGCAACCCCATTTTGCTATGGAGTAGACCGGACAGTACGATGTCTAATAATGCCTTCATCTTTACAAAACTCATTAAATTCACCTCCACAAAATTTCAAACCATTATCTGTTCTGAGACGCTTGACTTTCTTGCTTGTCTGTTTCTCAATCAAAGTTTTTTATTGCTTGAAAGTCCCAAAAACATCACTCTTGCGTTTCAGAAAATATACTCAAACTCTTGCGTTTCAAAAAATATACCCAAACCTTTCTTGAATAATCATCAATAAAGGTCAAAAGGAACTGAGCATCACCCTTAGATGGAACTTGAGAAGGACCCCAAAAGTCTGAATGAATATAATCAACTGTACCTTTAGTCCTGTGAATAGATGTACTGAACTTGACTCTGCACTGTTTCCCAAAGACACAATGCTCACAAAAATCAAGTTTTCCAATTTCTTGTTTGCCAAGCAAACCCTGTTTACACAAAACTTCCATGCCCCTCTCGCTCATGTGACCCAAACGCATATGTCATAATTGGGTAGTATCTGAATCTGGAATCTTGAATTTTTGAAGATTACACACCAGCTGTACCAATCACAGTATCACCATGAAGAACATAGAGACCATTAATCTTTTTACCTTTCATCACAACTAGGGAACCTCTGCAGACTTTCATAACTCCACCTTCAACAGAAAACCTGCAACCAATGGAATCTAAAGTACCCAAGGAAATCAAATTCTTCTTTAATTCTGGAATATGTCGTACATCTGTCAAAGTCCTCACAACCCCATTATGTATCTTAATTCGGATAGTACCTATTCCAACAGTCTTGCAAGCAACATTATTTTCCATCAAGACTAAACCACCATTGACTGACTCATAGGTGGTAAACCAGTCCCTATTAGGGCACATATGATAGAAACAACCCGAATTAAGAATCAATTCATCATTAAAACGTCTATCAGAGACTGTAAGGACATTATCTGAACCATCAGATGTATTTTCTGCAACACCAGCTACACTAGAGGAATTGAAAGGATTTGAATTTTTTTGTCCCCCTTTATTTTTCAACTTAAAACAATCACGCTTATAATGACCAATTTTATGACAATAAAAACATTCAACATTATTCTGTTTCTTCCTAGACTGTAATCGATATCCAACTTTTCTTTTTCCTTTATCTGAATTTTTTTCAATGGATCGACCTCTATTATTATTAGAGGAATTATCATGACGACCCTTCACAAATAAACCCTCGGTTTGAGTATTACTGCCCTTACTATTCAATTTAGTACACAACTCCTTAGAATTCAAAGAAGATTTCACATCAACTAAAGAGATTGAGTCTCTCCCATACAACATCGAATTAACAAAATTATCAAACGAATCAGGCAGCGAGCATAACACAATCAGGACTTGATCTTCATCCCCAATTTTAATATCAATATTTTTCAAGTCAATAATAATTTTGTTAAATTCATCAAGATGTTCATTAATGGGCGTACCTTCTTTCATCTTGAGTGTGTACAACCGTTGCTTCAGATACAAGCGGTTGGCGAGAGACTTCTTCATATATAAACTCTCCAACTTTTTTCATAATCCTTTGGCTTTGTCTTCATCGATAATCTCACGAAGAACTTCATCAGCAAGAGACGACTGAATTGCACTGTGTGCTTTTTCTTCAATATCAACAACTTTAGTTTGATCTGTCTCGTTGGATAAAGTTCCATCAATGGCCTTTGCCAAACCCTGCTGACGAAGCAATGCCTTCATCTTGATTTGCCATAAATTGAAATTTTTCTGACCATCAAATTTTTCTATCTCGAATTTTGTGGTAGCTATCCCGAAACCAATAGCTCTGATACTAATTTTTTATAAACAAAACTACAAACAAAATAATAACGCAACGAAATAGAAAAATAGAACACAAAGATTTACGTGGTTTGACTCAACAAGCAAGCCTACATCCACGAACGAAACACAACGTTAAAATTTCACTATTGAAAGGTTGGAGATTACAACGTTCTCAGAACAAATCAAAGAGAAAACTAGATATCTGCTCTATTCTAATAATAAAATATTTATTGGATTTAACAAAATAGAGCAATATCAATTTATCACACATAAAGAAAACTCTTGTACCGTCGTCAATGGCCAACCACTAACTCACTGGAGAAGACGTCCTTTTTATCTAGCTTTTGAACTAAGGAATTTGATTCCTTCACAAAGTCTTTATGCTGAGGAGGTCTCACGTGTAGGACAAAAAATCAAAGACTCCTTGAAGGCTTTGAGTTTAAATAACAAAAGTTTATGTTGGACTAAACTCCACTAAAAAAATAAAACCAAGATAATCCTAATTAAGGTCAAACTTGTCTATCAAAGACTCCAATAAAAACTCATGTAACTTGAATACAAGTCATCACAACATAATCTGATAGAGAAGGTGATCAGGTGAGCGATGTTAATCTATCTTATACTTTCCCTGTGTCGGGCTTTAACACCTTTTTAATTGCATGCTCAAAACTTAAGTTTATTGATATAGTTGTAGCATATTATGTATTTAATATAACTCGATACAACATTTCAGTAGCATTTATAAGAGTAAACTTTTCTCTGGCACGTTCCTGATGAAATTGTGTCTTCATTGATCTGAGTTGAGCTAAAATGTTTTCCCTTCGGGAATATATGGACTTTTTTTGACAAACATGTGAATATTTGATTGACAGGTTAGATATCGTCCAAACACTCCGCTAGTGCTTAAAGGCATTACTCTCAACATTCAAGGGGGTGAGAAGATTGGTGTGGTTGGCCGCACAGGCGGTGGAAAATCAACTTTAATCCAGGTTTTCTTCAGGTTGGTGGAACCTTCAGGAGGAAAGATAATCATTGATGGCATTGACATTTCTATGCTAGGGCTTCATGATCTCAGGTCCCGCTTTGGGATCATTCCTCAAGAACCTGTCCTTTTTGAAGGAACCGTGAGAAGCAACATTGACCCTATTGGGCAGTATTCAGATGAAGAGATATGGAAGGTAAATGTGACATTCCTGTTCATTTGAATCTATAATGTAATGGGTTGGCTGGGACCTGAAAAGAATAATCCCTACTCCATATACACTTGTACTGTAGATCTTCTCATGCTTTAGTGGGCTCTGTTTCTGTCCGTGTGATCCATATTACAGCTATTATACTTCCATATTGTCTACTTTTTTTTATGAGAACTGCAATTGTTACTTTGTTTCCTTTATCTGCCTCCCCGCCAAAGAAAAAGGGGAGTTTGTTTAATATTGATTTGCAATTGACGGCCAGTTAATGAAATCCAAAGCCAGTGTCTCAATTCAGGCTTGGCCTATATGTATGGCCTCATTGATGCATATTAAGTACCACACCATTTTAAGATTTTACAATGGTTTATCTGATGCGAGAACTTATCCTGTAGAGCCTTGAACGCTGCCAACTTAAGGATGTGGTGGCTGGGAAACCTGGGAAACTTGATTCTTCAGGTACATAATTTATTCATTTCTTCTACCAAATCCTAACTTTTCAAGTTCACGTAATTTTTTTTTTAATGTTGTGTTTGGTGAACTTGCTTAGTTGTTGATAGTGGAGACAATTGGAGTGTGGGGCAGAGGCAGCTTCTTTGCTTGGGACGGGTAATGCTAAAGCGCAGCCGCATCTTGTTCATGGATGAGGCAACTGCTTCTGTGGATTCACAGACGGATGGTGTAATTCAGAAGATTATTCGGGAGGACTTTTCAGCCTGTACGATCATCAGCATTGCTCATAGAATACCAACAGTCATGGACTGCGACAGGGTTCTAGTTGTAGATGCAGGTGTGTGCTTCTTTCTCTTGTTTTTACACCCTTACCCTTAAAATTGATGCCAATGGTAAAACGTAAGCTTGACACATTTTTCAAGATGCGTAGCGTAGGGGGCAAGCATTGAGCTTCACATTTTGTGGGAATTGTCTGATGAATCTACCTCTAGTGAAATTACTCTGGCAGCTAATGTCCCTTTTCTCTCTTCAACAGGATGGGCAAGAGAATTTGACAAACCATCTAGCTTGCTTGAGAGGCCCTCACTCTTTGGGGCTTTAGTTCAGGAATACGCCAACCGCTCATCTGGACTGTAACAAACCATTCTTGTCTCTATGATGCTTGCTGTGGATTTGTGGCAGCATATTTTGGCTTGGCTAACCTTCCTCGGGACGACCAGTGATGGCAGAGACTGTGGATTCAGTTCACCAGCATCATCCGATAATCAGCATGGACAATTGATATCAACCTTAATGATATAGGTGAACTACAGTTTTGATAGTTTTATTATGCTCTGTCCCATTCTGAAACTCTGGATTCTCTATACTTTCTACTCAGTTAATGTTCCTCGTTACCTTTTTGTGTGTTCTGATGATGATGTAAAATATAGTTTCAGTTTAGTTGAAACCTTGTGGCTTGAGGTCAATTTTACTGGAAAAATTAACTAGTCCGTGTTGAAGCTCGTTAAAATTTTGAATACTAGACTCGGGTTAATTACAAGGGAATCTGACAACGGTAAGATACTGCTGCCTTTCTTTGTCAAATGAAATTGTGAAACGTGTGAATTTTTTATTTTTATTATTTTTTAGGAAAAATTTCATCCACACCCTCCTAGTTACGTCTAAATTTAATGACACTCCCTTCCGATTCTGAAAATTCATTGCACTCCCTTCTGGTTTATACTTTCACATCAAAGACACCCCCTTTAATGTATTTTTTAACTACGCCAATACAAAAATTAACGGTTTGTCTCTAAATTTTTTGAAAATGTCAAAAATACCTTTTTTTATATAAATGTACTAAAATATCTTTAACTTTTTTTTCACTATATATACCATACATTTTGTTGTTGTTGAATGTTAAAAACGATCTAGTATTGTTGGAAAACATAAGAGATTGAAGTCAGACATTCTTTTTCAATTCGTTCTCTTCAGTGATCAATCAGTACTTAAGTTGGTTAAAAAAAAATTATTTTTTTTCTTGCAAATTTGTAATGTTTTTCATGCAATTTCTTTAAAAAATTTTAATGCAATTTTTTAAAATTTTTTTTAAAAATTTTGTTTCATGCATATAGTTTTAATTTTTTTCATGCATTTTTTTTTTTATTTTTTTCATGGAGATATTTTTAATTTTTTCTTGTAAGATTTTTAAATTTTTTCATGAATTTTTTTTTTATATTTTGTTCATGCACATTTTTTAAAATCTTTTTCTTCCATTTTATTATATCAATATGTTGTGATGTATTATTATAAGATTGATGTCTTCTTTAACTGTTGATGGAGGCAAAGACATAGGAGAAAAGGAGTTTGACATAGACATGATTTCAATCATTATATTATCCCAATAAATTTTTATTATTTTAAAGCATTGCATGATAACTTTTTTTATAATATTAGTAATCATATTATCACTCATTTGATTACATAATCGAGTTTTTTTTTTATAATTTTTGTAGTTAAAAATAATTTTTTTATAATAAAAATTACAATCGATAAAGTCTATGTTAAAATCTCATATATTTCTAACTTTCCAGTTATCATCTGTTCTCCACAACGTCACCTATCCACTCTTCACACCTTACTATTCATATATAAAATTTAAATATTAGTTGATAAAATTTAATAATAATTGAATAAATTGAGTCTTAATTTGATAAATTTAAATATTAATTTGGTGTTAATTTTATTTTATTTAGTATTGATTTGATAAAATTTAATATTAATTAAATAAATTTAAATGTTGCTTTAATGAAATTGAATGTTTATTTGGTATTAAATTAAATAACTGATATTAATTTGATAATGGTAATATGTTAAATTAATGGAATTTAATATTTTATTTAATATATTAAATTTTAATTTAATAAAATTAATGTCAATTTGACATTGACTTGATGAAATTAAATAATAATTTAAAGTTAAATTAAAGAAATAATATTAATTTGATGAAATAAAATATTAAATTAATATGATTAAATGCTAATTTGATAAAATTAAATATTAATTTGTGTTGATTTGATGAGATGAAATGTTAATTTAATTTAAATTAAATAAATGACATTAATTTGATAAAATTAAATATTAAATTAATGAACTTAAAAGTTAATATAATAGAACTAAAAGGGAGTGCATTAAAATTTCAGAATCGTAAGGGAGTATTATTAAAGATAGGTCTATTTATAAGGGATGTAGATAAAATTTATCCTATAAAATATTTAGGGGTATTTTTATAAATTAACAATTATCATTAACACCGTAACCTGACAAACACTGACAGAGGGTGACAGTAAAATTTCATAGGGGAAATCATTAAATTTAAACGTAATTACAGGGGGTGTGGATGAAATTTTTTTAAATTTTGAAGCTTTAAATTTTATTATTTTAATGAATATTTTTGTAATTTTTATGAATTATTTTATAACAATAAAAAATTATAATTTTTATGGATGATTTATCATTTTTATAATACTTTTTTAATCACTTTTATGGATCCATCATATATAATACAAAAAATAATAAAAATAATTACTATAATAATGATAAAAACTGTCACACAAATTATAAATAACATTATGGTACTGTAGACTTGTCCCCTAGTGTTATTAGAGTTGTCCCCTATTGTTATTAGGTTAACTATATAGAATGAACGAGTAGACTACTTGTCTCATTCAATTAATCTTACCACCCATTCCTTGACTTTGGCTACTATATTGTTTGTCTCATTCAGTTAAGGTAGCAGGATGCTGATTATTGATCGATTCATTCGTTTCTTCTTTAATAAGGCATTGATTACTGAGCAGTGAGGTGGTCTAGTTGCGTAACAGTCGAATTTTTTTATTTTGTGGTTGAAAATTCGATTCTTAAAATTCATATTAAAATTCGGTGATTGACCACTATGTTAATTTGAGAAGAATAACGGACACAGGTAAGACCCTTATAATTTCACCAATGTCTATCGAAATGGTCTCTACATGCTCCCTTTTGCTCTCTATTCCTTTTTTCAATAGCCAAAAAACAAAGAAAGAGACACTTATTGAACAACATTTTGGTACGGTAGACACTAAACAACTCCTAATTTATAAATATTTACGAGCAATCACAATATTTTATGTTCAGTCATATATTTTATAATTAATCATAAAATATTACTATGGATTATAAATAATATAATTTAATTTCTAATCATAATCATAAAAAAGGGGATCTCGGTACATACTCATTTTTTCACGCCATGAACAAAATTTTCTAACCACTTCGTGTTTTTATTGGCACGTGGACTCAACACTTTCTCCTTTTAAACAAGTAGACTGACCATAATTATAATAATAATAATTAACTAACTTGACTTTACACATCATTTTATGGCAGATGATGTTGTTTTATATATATACTAGTTATATCTTGTGTCTGAAGACATAAAATAATAAAAAATAAAAAATAAAAAATATATTTGTATTCATTTAAAATTAAATTACAAACATAAAAAAAAGATAAAAGAATTTAAACATCGGTTTGTAGTGGGGGCAAAGATGGTGGGCAACAGTGGTGGTGGTAGGAGATGATGATGGTTGTGGTGGGTGACAATGACAATGGTAGCGATGGTGGCAACGATGGTGGCGGCGACGACGGCTATGGTGGTGACGGCGATGGTGGTGGTGGTGGTAGTGGCGACGGCAGTGGTGATAGAGAGGGCGGATGTGGAGGTGGTAAAGATAGTGGTGGGGCGGTTTCAAATACTATTTTTTTTTAAAAGTATTTATGAAAAATAATTTCTAAAAATACTTTTAAAAAGTTACTCCAAACACACCTTAGGGGCCTATTTTTCCTATTAAATTTAGGTGTTAACAGTAGTAGTTAGATTAACTTTAAAGTTAGATTAACTTTAAAGTAAAATTTAAAACGATCGCAATCGCAAATAACAAAATCATTTTGTTTATCTTTTGAGATTTGAATTGTAAATTACTTTATTATATACTAGTTATTGTCTGTGCCTGAAAGTATATAGTAATAAAAAATAATAAATAATAAACATATTTGTATTTATATCTAAAATCAAATCACAAACATAACTAAGAGATAAATGAATTTAAGCATCGATTTTGTAGTGGAGGTGAGAGGTGGTGGGCAGTAGTGGTGGCGATAGGAAACAGTGATGGTTGTGGTGAGTGACGATAACCGTGGTGGTGGCAATAATGGTGGGCGTGGTGACGACAGCGGCAGCAGTGATGGTGGGGGTGGCGGTGATTGCAGTGGTGGGTTGGCGGTGACGGTGACGGTGATGGTGGCGGTGGTGGCGGGGATAATGGCGGTGGCAGTGGTGGTGGTGTGACAGTTTCAAACACTATTTTTAAAAAAAATATTTATGAGAAATAATTTCTGGAAGTACTTTTAAAAATTCACTCTAAACACACCCTTAAAGTTTTATTTTTTTTATTAAATTTAAGGTGTTAATATTAGCCGTTAGATTAATTTTAAAGTAAAATTTAAAACGATTAAAATCGCGAATAGCAAAAGTCATTTTGTTTATCTTTTTAAATTTGAATTGTAAGCTACTTTAATTTATATATATATATATATATATATATATATATATATAATTTAAAGGGATATTTAATTTAAATTATGTTTATTTCGATTAATTTTTATTTTAATTCGATTAAAAATAAATTATTCACATTAAAATAAAAATAATATTTATAAAAAATAAATTTATCGGGGCTCGGCCCAAAACAATTGTCATGATTGAAACTACAACTACTTACTAACTACTCTTGATCTATCCGTTGTCGTTTTATGTTTGGCCCAAGTTACCAACTTTCCATATCTCCTCGTTCTTTTTCTTTTGGCTGAGTCTCACATGCAGATACATAGATTCCGTGAATCATTTTTCTTATCTTTTTTTATTCTTTGGTATTCCACATATATAGAATCATTTCTTTATTCTGTTGGTTTTTGTCGGTCTTGGTGTGCTTCCAAGTCTCTTTGCTTGCTTGAATCTCCAAAGCACAGGAGCTTGACTTTGCTAGCTTTCTGTCTGTGTGTCCTCTTCAGAGCCCAGGTGAGTTTGTTTCTTTCAGTTACAGTTAGGCTGTTTTTTT